GTTACACTGGTCATTTGCTGGGAGATTTGGCGAAGTCTTTGCTGTGCTAATGAGAGCTGTGACTGATGACAGGGAGGTCAAGGGTCTCACATTCTCTGTGGGGCACAGTGAAGGTCTATCTAGTGGGCTTCTAGAGATCTGGGACAAGAATACGACCTGGTAAGTTGGTAAGACAGAACATATATGTTCATTTTATTTATTTGGGTTTCATGTGGTTGGGTTGGGTGTAGGGTAGGAATGCAGGATGGAGACGATCTGGTAAAAGGGAGCTGCTTAGGAATTGGAAGACAGTAGTGCTCTGAGCCCTCGACACCTCCAGCAGGTCGAAAAGGAAAGAGCAGATTCCAGCTCTGAGTAGAGATCTACATCTGAAATTGGAGACCTACACCATGAAGTGTGCTGTGTAAAATATATTAAAAATAAAAAATTGGTCCATATGCCAAATCAAAGTGTGTTCATCCCAGTGAGGATCTGCCACTGAAAGTGAAGATGAGTGTGAACGTACAGGTTTTTTTCCCAGGTTCATGTGACCATAGATTCTATCATTAAACATTTCATAAATTACATACAACTTTCAAGTCAGTTGCAATTTAATTGGCCACAAATCAGTATCAAGACCAGTGAGAAAAAGAAAACTACTCAAAAGCATTGGAGGCAAAAGGCAGGGAAGCCTCTTGACAAATGTTTGCTTTTCCTTCTTTTGAACTGACATAGGCCTGTGCATAATGAAAATCATGGTAATGTGAAATTTTATCGCCTTTGTTTTCTTGGAGTTGGAGAGACAAATCTTGTACACACACACTCAGTTTCTTCCCAAAATAGCCTCATTCTTTTATTGGTGATTCAAAACATTTTTAATTCAAATCATCACCACATAACCTAGGCACAATATTAAGCATTTTACAAGCAAAGTATTTTACTGATTTTCTTTCCAATTGCCGAAGAGTATGATAAGTGAATTGGTTAAAGGATATACTTCTGTACATAAAAATACCCATGTATTTATACAAGTGTATGGAACAGAGTTTAAAGAGAATAAAACCAGAGCATCACAATAAATAGGATGTGTTCCTACAGGACAGCAGAGCAAGCTTTGTCAGGAAGCTGTCAAGTCTCTTTTTTTCAAGGTGCTTTATATTCTTCTGAGCTAGGCTCACATTTCCCAAAAGAAAGATTAGGGGTTAGTAATGACCGTATCTGAATGATTACTTTAAACGTGTTGCTTTCTATTTGCATCTCCAATAGTGAGGTGGAAGATGTGATCATTTACTTTTAAAAAGTCTTCGCAACATACCAAATTCTTTTGATTTCCCACTTCAGTATTTTAAAATGCAGAGTAATTTAAGTTCCAGCACCATACAAGAATGAAATACATGAAATGTATTTTTCTCTTTTTTTGTCAGAGCAACAATATTTTATATCATCTTTGTTCCTCTGGCTATAACAATTCTGTTTAGAAAAATTTAACAAGCTAAAAATAGTTGATCTAGGTTGTCATAAAAAAGAATATTAAATACCTTTGGTAAAAATAGATATATTTAACAAGATTAGAAAAGCAAACAGATATAATGTCAAAAGGAGAATATAAAAATGTACACAATAAAACAAATAAACCAACTTAAAGTGAAGATAAGGCCACTCGTCCTTTCCGGTTGGTCTCTTCCAAACCGTAAATGTAAGTTCTCTTCTTTCCACCGGTAGAAATTTTAGTAAGAAATATGGAAAATCCAGTCTTTCCTATCATCATGACACAAACTTAATCCATTGCAACATAGTTCCTTTTTAAAAGCCAAGTTTGTAGAACATAGAACACTCTGGTTTATATATGTGAATGTAAGAAAAAAATTCCAGATTTCTGTGATTTTTTTTAGGCCCAGAACATGGAGCTTTAGAGTTATGCAAGGCAACAGAATCAGGTGCTCATTTGCACAGTTTTTCCCCGCACTGACATCAACCTAAACCATATAAAGACAACTGAAATACAGAAGACAGCTAGCTGAGTAAGTACGTGTTGATACTCTGGGAATAGCTAGTGATCTACAATGTTTAATTATTTCTTTTGTCCATGACCAAAGACCTTTTCTCCTGTCATTTGGGCCTCCTCTCAAAAGAGCTGTCGCACAAGTTCTAATTCCGTTTTGTGTCTCCTCTTTTAGAACACACTGTAAATCCTGAAGACGAAAGGTCCCTGAAGCAAACAACTGAGATTACGGATGGAGATAATGCATAAATTCTCTAACAGAATCAGCCACTGAGCTGGGCCGCTCAGGGAGAGGGCTGCACGTGGGGAAGGGGTTATCCTCCCGTGTTCCCTCTGCATACACAGTCACACTCTTCATGGTGCTCCAGGGCCACGTCAGTGAGAGATTTATGCAATCCCCGGACACCATTCTTTGGTCTCAGCTGAAGGACCTGAAAGGGAAAAATGTTAACCATCTGTCAAATCACCCAATGTCTGTAACTTCTGATTTCATGCACAAGTAACATCTCAGACAAGACTGCTGGGGCCTAACAAAAACTTACAACATTATAAACACATTGCCCCAACCATTGAAAACATCATAAATGATCATAATTTCAAGAAAGAAAGGACATTTTAATACCAATGATTTGGAAGGATGTTGCCTCAGATTACTAACAGTCCTTAAATTGAAAGACTCCCTGTGCACTCTGCATTTCTCATGCAACGACACTAGAGGGAATTTCACCTTGATTCTGGAGCCCCTACTGCACAATTCATTTTTCTGCTGGTTGGTTTATTTCTTTCATTCATTCATTCATTCATTCATTCATTCATTCATTCACATATTTAACAACTATTTGTCCTTGAAGCAATACATACAAGTCCTACAATACTGTGAAAAGAAAGATGATCACCCTACAGCTGAGTTTGCTCAATTATACCACTCATTAATTTTCTTGGCTCCCCTTCAAGTCCTCTATAAATTTGATGAGATGGATTAGATGTACTTCATAGACATCAGCCTCTGTCACAGCTAACTTTCTGCAGCTGGGTCCTACTGGGTAGTATATGGAAGTTTAGCAGTAATAACAATAATGCCTCTATTGCATAAAGTTATTTTCATTTGAGATTCTTGAGATTCTTAATAAGAAAATAGCAAAATATATATTGACACTAAATATATTTCCTTTTAACTGTGACAAAAGGATATAGCTATGTATTTTATTAAAGATTATCTCAAGTATTTTACAAAAACTACCTACTCAATGTGTATTATATTTTACTTCTTATAACAGAAATGATAAAGTTTCAGAAATTGTGTTTGTTTTAGATTATGAACAAAGAGCAGACAGAGCACATAATAATATGAATTTGTCTAGTTCATCTGCTCTCTGGATATAACACATAACTTCAGATTGCAGCTTTAAAAGTTACCATTCCTGGAAATTTTCATTAATCCAAAAAGGCACAAGTTAGGTCTTATGATTGTTCTATTTGAAGATTTATAAAAGAAAGAGGCTGTATACCTTATTTGGAGTATGTGGTCATATCAAAGGTTAATTAGCTAACATTTTTTGAATTCTTACTGGGTGCCAGGCACTATAATAATGTTTTTACATACTTTAACTCATAAGAATTCTATGAAGTAATTTACAATAATTATCCCTATTTTACACATGAGTGAATGGAAGCTTAGTATAAGTGACATAGCCAGTGTCTGTACTTTAGCCAAATATGAATTATTAAAGTTAGAATGATAATTTTATAAAGACCCAGAGTACTGCTAGTCATATGTTCTACTAATTTAGTAACTTTCTTCCTAGAAAGATAAAGTGAAAACTCTTGTGTAACTCTGAGAAGCAGTCAACTTTTTAAGTAGATTTTCTGTCTTTTACATTTTATAATTGCAGAATAAAAGTTACTGAGACTATATCATTTTAATGTGAAACTCAACCAATGATTATTGAATATGATTTTCTGGGTCAGCACTGACTTACTGTTTTTGAGCCAGTTAAGAGTAAAACTACTCTTAAGATACTGGTTCTAGGCCCTCTTATCCCACTTTTGTTACCAATCGTTTCTGGAATGAGGTTGGGTGGATAGATAAAACTGCAATACTGGCATAGCCAATGTCTTTAATTCCTATCTCTACTTGTATATACTTTCCCAGTTGGTGGGGGAAAAAAAAATTACTATGCAAGGTCAAAGTTAGAGAGGCCACCATAGTTATACAGTCCCAAGTAACACCCAAGCATGCCAAGCTGCAATCCTACAACCCTTTCCTCTAGCAGTGCTTCTGCCAAGATGCATACACCAAATAAGAGTGCCCCACCTCCTGCTCCGCCCATCAGTCTTTCTCCATTAATGCTTGTAGGGATTTAAAAATAGCAGAAGAATCTCATAATGATCAAGTGATGTTAAAGTCTTGGATAAAAACTTCTAATACACAGTGGGGGGACATAATCAGTGTTTTCCTTCTTAATAACACAATGAATACAACTCAGCTTACTATTTAGGGAAGCTGGTGTAAGAGAGAGAGATGAAAGAGACAAAAATTAGAACTTCTAAGCTCTGTGTTTGCTTCTACCTTCTCCTCAAGGCGGCATAATCTTCAGACTGAAAATTTGAAAAATGGTGATCAAAAAGAATTTTTAAAGCCCAAGATGGGTTTCACTTTAAATGAGTTAACTGTCTAAATCCAGACTAATGGTATCATGACAATCATTTGAGAACTATTTAATATTACGTTTAAAAAAATTTATGTAGGAGTAGTACTGAATTCAGAAATTATTTCCAAAGTATAGGATGACAAAAATTTATGCCTCAGAAATGATAAATTATACCAAGTAAACAATCTTGTTTTCATAGGGCAATTTGTCAACAAAAAAATTATCACAGGAAAATTAATAATTCCCACAAAAAATTGTTAAAAATTAAGACACAATTATTATTGCAGATATTTGTGAGAAATGTGGAGTAGGTAACTTTATATTTCTACAAACACATATATTGGAAATATTTGTGGGAAACTTGCACTAGATGGCCATCTAATTAGATAAACATCCATAGCTGTAGGTGAGTACACATGCATAATGCATATATAACCAACCCCACCCAAAGACTGGACAATAATGGACTTTTCTGGAAGGCAAGTGAGTCTGTACGTACTGCCCATAGATTCTCCCCACATAAGAGTTTTAACTGAGACTTTAAAACAGATACTGCATGCTCTGGGGCAACTTTCTGAATAACACTAAAATTAATGTTATTTGAAAAGAAATTTGTAAGTATAGGATGGAGGGGGCTTCCCTTGGCCTGAGGGTTTAGCTGACCAAAAGTATGATATGGACTCAGTAACTGGTAAGTTCATTTTAAAAAGCTAATATGACGAGTCTGGGTGGGTTTTGTAGCTCTAAGAATCATGGTTATAAACCCAAGACTTGTTGGTTGAATCAGGTCCCCAAATACACTTTGTTTGGTAAGGGTCTGCTTTAGAAAATTCAAACTGGAATGCTTTTAGGTGGAAAAGGTTATTCTAGTTTAATTCCTATTCTCATCACATCCTTTCATATATGCCAATCAGCTCTAATATCTGCCTTATCTTTAAGGCATTTTAAGTTTAGTCTGTTTTAGAACTACCATACTAAGGGTTTTCTCCTGGATTCCAATTCACAGAATAGCAATATGGCCAGCTTTTGGGCACAGCCTGGCTGGAACTCCTTGAGCCACTAAACTCATGGTTATCTCTGTCCTGAAACTGGAGTAAAGACTGCTCCCACCACAAGGCTCTTTATCAGCATGTGATGTAGAAATGAAAGTAGAACATGAGTAATGGCAGTAAATAGCCCTATTTTTAATCACATACTGGTAGTTTTGGAATGTTACCTTCTAAAAATTGCAGTCTAGTAATTGTCATGGAATAACACAGCTAGGAAAAACCTCAGAAATGATCATATTTTACCCTTGTTGTTACAGAGGTTAGATATTCTGCTGCCGGTCACAAGCTAACGGTAGATCTAGGATGGAAACAGGGTCTCATCTTCTGAAATCAAATGCTTTTTTTCCCCACTTTATCATCTGCCAACACAGTATCAGTGAAGGGCAGGACTACCATGTCATATGAAGTGCAGTTTATGACCCTGTGTAGGTTTGGACTACCTAAAGGGTGTTTCATTGATGTTTTATTCACATGAAACAATCATTTTATTTGTTAATTTGCTGTTTATTCTGTCTGATTCTTTTATTTAGTAGGAAAAATAAAACCTAATGAAATGAACTCATATGGAAATGAAGTCAGATGGGCCAATTTGGCCTTGGTATAATAATGTAAACACTTGTAAAAAATAAATGAGTCATGAAGAAGGGTTGCCTCCTAATGTATAAATGCTCCATGGCACTGCTGGAGAGGCAGTTGGGTATAACGGGATATTCTAGCCCCAGTGACACTTTGGAGTGTATTAAATTATAAGATTCCCAAAGCTCTGAAAAACAATAATGACCAACATTTAATATTTTCCTTAATTCCACAAAATAAAGTCATAAAAGATTGAAGAATCCATAGAAAGTTTAACATGCTATTCAGAACAACATGAACAATTCAAAGATTGGTATAACTATGAATATGTTTTGGAATTTATGTGCCTGTATTACTTCAAATGGAAAAATAAATATCAAAGGTCTCCTTTCTCCAAAATAGACAATGATTTATCTTCAAGTTTGTCCTAAAAATGTTTTCCCTTCATAGTCTGAAAAGTTTGAGGTTGAAAAGTTTTATTTCTTCCCCACCCCCAACAGAAGAACACATTTTCTTTTTTGTACAAGATATAATCTTTCTAAATCCTTAATGTCTGGGTTTTTGAGTTAAAGGTCTTAATTTCAAAAAATGAAAACGAACTATTTTGTGAACCTTGGTTTTTTTTTTTTTTCATGAGTGCAACACCTCTTTTTCCTACCAAAAATTCATTTCTATACATTGATTTGTTATTTTTTAAGACACAAAAAACCCAAAAGAACCCCAAAAGAAAACTATATACCTACCTCATGGTATTTTTTAGTGACTTTGCTTGGGACACATTGACACTCGTTGCAACTGTGGAGACAGCAGGCACAGTTTCCACCGCAGCGCTTAACCAGGAGGCAACCTGGCCAGAAAATGGTATCGGTTCTCTTTAGTTCTTCCCTTATGGACACCGAGAAGTTACGAGGTGTGCAGCTGTATAATCTTACCTCCTCTTTTAGAAGGTTCAGATCCACCACTACATGGCAAAAAAGAAAAGTAGATGTTCATGCTTTGAGCCTGAATGTATTTCATTAAACTCTGTTCATAAATAAATCTCGCTGTTTCATGAAAAATAACCCTAACAATATCCCTTCTTATTTTAACTAGGTTTTAGGGCTGTGCAGCTCCCAAGCTGGACTTTCATTTTATAGTAAACAAAGCTTCATTATGACTTAGTGACCAATAAAGAGATGCCATTGTGCATTATTAAGAACAGAGCCAACAAAATAGTGGAGAGCTATAAATAGAAAACTTTATGGAGTAAAAGAGGGTTACACCTTTTAACCTTAGTAAAAAAGTATACAAGGAGAGCATTGGAGTGAAGGATAGAATGTAAAACCATGAATGCTTCGATTAAAAAACAAATGTAATTTTAAAAATGATCACAAGCTCATGCAATTAATGAAGAACAACTTACAGACCTTTGTAGACAGAACTTTCTATAATCTTTTTGGCAAATATCAAACATAAAAAAAAGAAGTGAAGAAAAAATGCAGTTTTGAAGACAGCTAAGTAGACCATGAGTGAAAAAACCAACACATTTTCAAAGAGGGGAAGTTGTTGGAAAGCACTGCTTCTGGTTCGTTGAGTAATTTATGGTCCTTGAAATTTAGTTTATCTAGATTCCTTGAGCCTTCTATTCTTCTCCTTCCGAAGGATGGAAGAACTTATTTACAATTGTCTCTCTTCTTTTAGCAAGTTGGTTAACTATGTTGTGCTTTATTCTTTAAAAGAATACCTACTTGTGAAGACCAAACAAAATATCCTTTCATTGGGCTGCTGCAGTAAATTCTCAAAGAACCATTGTTTTTAACTACTAAATGATGCTTGCCTCAGTTAAGTTATATCAAAATAACATGTCATGTTTAATATCAATTCATACATAACATATGAATAGTAATTATTAGGATAAGCATCTCTAACATAATTTTAATTTCTGCTTTATAGCTTTGCCTTTTTTTCCCCTAGAAATGTGCAAAGAAAAGCAATTCTAATAAAACTGAAAAGTTTTAGGAAACATACAACTCAGCAGAGCTCTTTACCTTCCAAAATATTTTATTAAAATTTAGGAATATTTCTAAAATATAATGAATTTGGTTAAATACCTTTTCATGAACATGGGAAATGTTACAAAAAGGGATTGAAGTAACAGCAAAAAGTATTTTCTGGCTAAAGATGGCTTCAAATATTAATAACTATGTAATTCAGTTTTAATAATTAAGTGCCAATATTTTTAGTAACTGTAAGAGGCAAGGAAAATAAGAAGAGAATACTTGTTTTCTTGGCTATGTTTACTTGTATATGTAATCGGGTTTTTCTAAAACGTCAGAGGGAGCCAATGCAGGCATTTTTAGAGATATATTATAAATGATGCACATGCAACTGTGAGTTATAAACACATGCAACCTGTGTGGCTCAACAAATGAACTTGGTCAAGTATAGGGAAACACTAAGGAAATGCTGAGTCAGTAGGTTCATTTCAACAATTTATCCAGCTAAAAATTATTTTTCCCAACTCAATGGAAAATCACTATATTGGAGTATTTAAAGATTTCCTTTTCTTCCCAAAAATGATACTGTGAAAGTAAAGCTTTTAAATAGTAAGAGGAAATGAGTTCATTCTTTTGAGTGCCATAAAAGACCAACATATCGCTGACAGAATTAATGAGATAATTGGGTTAAGCGATGTCACATATTTTACCTGATGTCATTTTGCTGAACTAGTAGCATATGTACATATTGCTCTTTCATTGTTAAAAGCTACATATGAGCTTATTGGAATATTTTCTCTAGGAGTTAACCTCTAGGCAAGGCTGGAGAAAATCTAAAACACACACACATAAAAAGCCTGTTGCCAAAATTTTCAATGCTTCTTTAAAATTTATACTTCTTTAGAATGTGAATGAAGGCCTTAGGTTTCAAAGGATATTCATGTACCTCAAATAGTTTTAAACACACTATTTCATGAAACTAGTAAATGAGACCATATATGTTCACTTTAAAATGTTTACTTAACCACAATAAACGGTTAGATAGATTTCCCAAGTGGCCTAAGTTATGATACCTGCTACAACGTGAAAATTTAAACACACTTTCAACTTAGCTTCCACTCATTTATCATGTTTGACACAAAAGTCAAAAGCCTTTTTTAAGTACTAGTTAAACCTAACTTAGAGAATATGGTATTTTTTTTTCTGCAGTAACAAGGTATGAATGAAAACCTTGAAGCACAGGAAGAAAGGGAAAAAATAAAGAAACAGAAAAACATTAGGCTAAAAGTACATTAAGGATTTTACACTTGTATCTTATTTTAAATATATGCTTCCTACTTCTAAGGCTTCACAATCAGCTAAACTTCATTAAAATAAATCATGTGATTATAATTTGGTATCATAAATTCTCCAAACATTGTTCAGAATTTCTAGGAAAAAAAAAAGAGAGATAAAGATCACACTCCAACAAACACATATTTTTTATAACCTAAGTATAATATGAGTTTGTCTCTGCTAAATATTTATGAAGCAAAACAGTATTCAAACTGTTGTTTGCTTTTCATAAAACACTTCATAAGACAATACATGCATTAGTTTGTCTTTCTAAAGAGTGAAAATTTTGAGTAGGTCATTAATAAAAGTTATTATTTCTATTGCAAATTGTCTTGATCAGATTCATCAATATTGAACATTTTACTAAGAAGGATAATACTGACAGAGAGAAAAATTATGGTCACATTTTACTTTGTTAGCTGTTCATGCTTTTAAGATATTCAGTCCAAGGCTATTCTATTACAGTAATGCTATCTGAGGGTGGTCTTTTTAAGATGAATGTGGTAACACTGTGATATGTTTATTCTCTGGAAAATCTATTTCGATGTCTAATTAGAAGTTTTTAAATGTTTTACTCCTGGTTCCTTTGTAGAAAGAATCTTGGGAGGGGAGTTGGTTTTGTCTATATAGATGTTACCCCACACCTGCATTTTAGTTTATGTAAAGTTCCAAAAATATACATTGCTTTTCTCACACTTACTGTACACTTAAAAAGTTAATAGTTTTGGCAAACTGCAAAGGGCTTCAATTTAGAAAGTGCTAAATGAATATTTGAAAGATCTGGCTCAGTGCTGGCTGCTTTTAAACACATGCTACCCTCTGGCCAAATTTTCTTTGAGCACCAGGTGAATTACAAGCAGAAAAGTCATGGCTGGAAGGGGGATTAGGCTTGAATCCTGAGATCAGCTGTCATAAAAGTAGATCTGAGTTTAGAATCCGGTTTACTCCCTCTGCTTCTTATAGATCAACATGATAATCAACTTCAAATTCGCTAATAAAGGCTCTATTCATGGGTGTTTCAGCTAGCCTTGCAGTTCTTTATTTTCCTGTTCCTAAGTGGGGTGGAAGTTATTCATCAAGTTATTCATGAGTTATTCATCAAGATCAAATCTTATAAATATGTAGCAGCTTTCAGCATCTGCACAGGATTTGACTGCTATGTACTTGAACACTGATTTCAAATATTGCTGAAAGAAAACCACGTCTGCTGTCACAGCAAAATACCATGGTTGGACAAGTCTGAACATGACCTGCTGAGATGAAAGCTCCTAATCCAGAAGGGTGGCAACTCTTAGCGGGAAAGAGGGGAATCGGGTTTCTTTCTGACAAGATTGAGAAGAACAAGTCTGGTGTAATCTGCCCCTGTGAATCACTCAAATTAACTTGTTCCTTCGGTATACGTTCTCCAGACCGTCATTCTGCCCTCTTAAGGTGTCCCTGGGTAGATGTCAGTGTTTCTGACAGACTGAAATAGATTTTTTGAGTGGTTGCACTTACACAGTTATTTCTATTACAGTTCCATTTGTGTCTGATATGGGTACTTCCCAATTTTAATGTTACCAGTGGGGGAGATTAGCTAACCTGAGGCAACATTCAGTTGTTATTTCCAATTTCTTGACTATGTGTAAATTAAGTTATCCATACTTTCACTCTTGAAGGGAGATATGCTCATATGGTCAAATATGATAATTTCAGAAACAAATGTATACAGAGGAAAATTATCATAGTGTGGGTTCTTTTAGGTCATTATTTTCTTGTTCTAAATCCTATCTTGGAAGCTACTACCTCTATTTGTGGTAAGCTATTGTTATTTTTCATACTATTTAGAAAAGTTTGTGGGCTTAGGAAATGGAAATTGATGTAATTCTGTCCCATGGGGACATGGTAGATAATGACTGTGCTAGAGCTTCCCCCTTTTCTAGCTCTAAACCTGGTTTAGCAGCTAAGAAATGAATCTCTAAGTCAATATACCCCTAACATAGGTTTGGATAAGCAGTATTCCTTATGAAATTTGAGGACTTCATCAAATTTTTGAATTAAAGAAATGATGAGAATTTTCAGCAAAAGTGTTTCTTTTAATCTTCCAAACCCATGTAAATTATTAGGTGCTTCCCTTTGTATGCATGCTTACTTAATATGGAAATATGCTCAAATGTTACAAAAATGGATTATTTACATATATCACTGAAGAATTTTAAACTCTACTCATTAGCCGATGGCAGAAGAATCTGAAACATGAGCAGGTGAGAACATTTAATGAGGTTCTAATCTGAGTTTACCTCTGGATTTTCTTCCAAAAACAAAAGCCTTGCCAAGAAGTTGCCAAGTTGGTCTGTATAGATCTTCTAAGTCCAACTGCCATCTATCTGGTTCAAGATACCGGATGAGGTCTTCCAAGGTGCTAAAGGCAGTGACAGCATTGTTAAGCAGATCCAGTGGCAAGGCTGAAGGGGGTAACACTGAAGGACTCACAGCTTCTGTGATCTGCTGAAAGTAAAATGAAGCCTCTGTTAGCTGCTATTAAAAGGAAAATGCACTTCTTCTGGATTTATGAAGTTGGGCAGACTAAGGCTGAGAACACACAGGAAGCAAAAGTGCATTCAACCCAAATTAGAAGTCATTACATTGCAAAGACTTACTAGAGATGAACGGTGGTAGATTTTCTGTCTAGTCAATGAAAAAGACGCTAACTTTTATTATCACGGATTATGGTAGGTGCGGGTATCTATCACTTAACTAAAAAGGCAAGTGTCTCCATGGTTCTATTATAGACTTTCAAGGAAAATTATAATAGTTTACCAAGTTTTCCTTTATTTTCATTTTACATTTTCCTCAGTCTGGAAAACCACCAGGTAGGTATGCAAATAAGTGTCAGATGAATTAAAAATTTAGTATACAATAATTAACCCAAAAAGAATTAAAACAAAATATAGGTAAAAAGCCTCTGACACTGGAGAAGTTGTTAATCAAGATAGAAAACATCCAAACCATAAAAGATAACTGATAAATTTGCCTACAATTTTATTTTTTTTAATAAACAGGATTAAAAGACAGACATTGGGACATCACCTTGGCAAACTATACAGCTATCATAGGATTAGTATCCAGAATATACCAGAAAAAGAGACAAACAATAAAAAATGGGCAAATTTACAAGAAACTTGGAATGGCCAATAGCATAGGAAAACATGCTTAAAATTCATTTTTTGTCAGAGAAATGGAAAACAAAATGAGATACTATTTAACATACAAAAGAGGAACTACTCTTTTACATACATGAAATTGACAAGCATTTAAAAAAACTTTCAAGGATATGGGGAAATAGGAATTTGCTCTGTTTGTAGAAGTGAGTGTAAACTGGTGCAACCACTTTAGCTGATGTAATTAATGTACATAAGATACTACCGTTGTGGATTTTATGTCTCATGTCCCTGTAATTCACTTTTGAGATTTATATTCTTTATTTGTGCATACGTAAACATGTGCAGTGATATTCATCACAGTGCTTGTTTGAAATAAAGAAAGGTGAAAATAACCTAAATGCTTATCTATAGAGACATGGATTAAAATGTTCACCATGGTAAGAGTAGTTACTGTCTGTCATCATACAAAATTATTACAATATGTGTCTATTTTTCCCAGTCTGTACCTTTCATCCTTGTGACTTATTTATTGTATAACTTGAAGTTTGTACCTCTTGATGCCCTTAACCTATTTTGCCCCCCATACCCCCTAGCACCTTATCTCAGGCAGCTATCTGTTTTCTGTATCTATGAGTTTGTTTCAAGGTTTTGGTTTTTCCATTTGGTTTTTTAGATTTGATATATAAGGTAAATCATATGGTATTTGTCTGTCTGACCTATTGCACTTAGCATAATAGCCTCCAGGTTCATCCATGTTGTTCTGTATGGCGAGCTTTCATTCTTTTTTATGACTCAGTAATATTCCTTTGTGTATATGTACCACCTTTTCTTTATCATTCATCTGCTAATGCACACATAGGTTACTTCCATATCTTGGGTTTTGTAAATAATGACACAATAAATATAGGGGTGCATGTATCTTTTTGAATCACTGTTTTTGTTTTCTCCAGAAAACAATACCCATAAGTGGATTACTAGATCATATGGTATTTCTACTTTTTTGAGAAACCTCTATACTGTTTTCCATAGTGCTTCTACAGTTTACATTCCCAGTAACAGAGCACAAGGATTCCCTTTTCTCTACATTATGAACAACACTTGTTATTTCTTGTCTTCTTTGATACTAGCCATTTTGATGGGTGTGAGGTGACACTTCATTGTGGTTTTGATTTGCATTTCCCTGATTAGTGATGTTAAGCATTTTTTTCCTGTATGTTGGCCATCTGTATATCTTCTCTGGAAAAATGTCTATTTAGTTCTTCTGCCCATTTTTTAAATTGGATTATTTGTTTGTTTTTTGTTGAATTGTATGAGTTGCATATATGTGTTGGATATCAAGCCCTTATTGGATACATCATTTGCAAATAAATTCTACCATTCAGTAGGTTGCCTTTTCATTTTGTTGATTATTTCCATTGTTGTGCAGAAACTTTGTAGTTTTATGTAGTCTCACTTATATATGTTTGTTTTTGTTTCCTTGCCTGGGGAGGCATATCAAGAAAAAAGTTGCTAAGGCCAATGTCCAAGAGTTTACTCCGATATTTTCTTCTAGGAGTTTTATGATTTCAAGTCTTACATCAGGTCTTTAACCCACTTTTACTTTATGTTTGTGTATGGTATAAGGAAGTGATCTAATTTCATTCTACTGCATGTGGCTGCCCAGTTTTCCCAAAACCATTTATAGAAGAGGTCATCTTTTTCCCTATTGTACAATCTTCCCTCCTTTGTTGTGGATTAATTGACCATACAAGCCTGAATTTATTTCTGGGCTCTCTTTTCTTTTTCATTGCTCTATGTATCTACTTACAGGCTAGTACCATACTGCTTTGATCAGTATACCTTTGGTATAATTTGATATCAGGGAGCATGATGCCTCTAATGTTCTTCTTCTTTCTGAAGATTGCTTTGGCTGTCTTATTTGGGGTCTTTTGTGGTTCCATATAAATCTTAGCATTCTTTGTTCTCATTGTGAAAAATGCTCTCCCCCCTCAATTTTTAAAGTAGACTACGGTTAGGGAGTGGTAAATCAGATCTGAAATTAAAGTAGGCAAAATAAATGTATGAACATATTCAAGAAGTACAAACTTCCAATTATAAAACCAGTAAGTCACAGGAATGAAAAATATAGCATGGAAATATAGTCAGTAATATTGTAATAACTTTGTATGATGACAGATGTTAACTACTCCTATCATAGTGAGCAGTTTGTAAAGTATATAAACGTTAAATCACTGTTGTACACTTGAAACTAATAAAATATCATGTCAACTATACTTACTAAAATACTTAAAAAAATACATGAACAAATGATCACCTTTTTATTGCCATTTATTTTTATTTTTATTTTTTGCAGAGGAGGGGGAGAGAAAAGCATGAAATAAAACACTTACGTTGACTGATGTTCATTATGGTAGTATTTATAATAACAAACTTAGGAAAAATCTAAATTTATATTAGTGTAATAGTTAATGACACTGTACTCAAACTGAAATAGTGTATAGCTACTAAAAATGAGGTCCTTTAAGACTTTTAATTAACAAATAAATGCCTACTATGTAATAAAAGACAAAAAATATATACACAAGCTATGTAAATATACCTTGATTTAAAACACACTAACTGAAACAAAACAGAAAATTAGAAGTGCCTAAAATGCCAACATGTTCATCTATGGTTTAAATGAGAATGGGTGATTTTGACTGTCTTCCTTATAGATACCCATATTTTCAACATTTTGTATAATAAACACATATTCCTTTTAGAGATCAGATAAAAATAATAACATTAGTTACGATAAAAAAAACATCACCTCTTCCTTTTCCTCCTCATTACTTGGGTCCGGGGTTAGAGAAGGAAAACCATGCACCAATGGTTTCAACTTTGTCTCCCGCCTTCAGTCTTTCCATATCCCCTGTATTCTGTGCTGCATAACCCTGGGTTAATCTAATGAGTTATCACTGATTAAGTGATGCATTTGGACAAACGCCAAGAAAGACTTCTCATCTGGAAGATAGAATCTAAATCCCTGACCTTGTTCTCCGGCTCCTCGCAGTCCAACCTCTGCTTGCCTTTCCCATCTAACCCTCTGCTCATCAAACATGTGCTCATTTTGTTCCAATCGATCTAGTCTCTTCACTGCTGCACACGTCATGCTCATCTCTGACCTTGTACCTCTAGCCATGCTAAATGCTGCTCTACTTCCTCCATATGCAAAACTTTCCTTCCTATGATGCGCATAATAAATCTTTACCAGTTATAATAAACAGCTTTTCATAAAACCCAATCTATCCTTAAAAACTTCCTTCTAACAGGGCCATCACTGTTTCACATTCTCAAATGTGTCAATTTGAAAAGATTCCCCTCTTTGAGCTATCCATGGCTTGAAAAGCAAAAGCTGCTTTTGTAAATTAGGAAAAGGACCACCATTCTCAGGGGCAGACATAGGTCCTGCTATGGCTCACAGTTTTGTGGGTACATAGTCCCCTTTTGCCTGGGTGGGGAGTCACTTTTATAGCATGATTAGCACAAATCGATTGGGTCCAACACTGATTTCATTCTCATTTCAAAGATTTCATTTCAATAATGTCAAGATTTTCACATTAAGATGATTCCAACTATTCTATCCAACATTTGAGAATAGAAACAAAGCTTAATTTGTTCTTATTTACTTCCAGTATTTAGTTGTTAATTTTTTTTAATTTAAAAATTCAATTATATTTGATATACAACATTGCATTGGATTCACATGTACATTTAGTTACTTGACAATTATATACATTACAAAATGCTCGCCAAGTTACCTTCTGTCATCAAAGGTACTACAATCTGACTATATTCCTTATGCTATACTTTTCACACCCACGACTTAATCATTTTGTCACTGGCAGTTTGTACCACTTTAACCCCTTCACTTATTTCACCCATTCCCTTGAACTCTATGGCAACTTCCAATTTATTCTCTGTATTTATGATAGTCTCAGTATTTTTTTTCATTATTAAGGAAGTGAAGAATTGCTTTGATAAACTACTATTACTATTGAAAGCTATATTGTGGATACAAATAAACAATTATTCAATACAAGTTTTCATTTTTAATTTAAGCAGTTTGGTTAATATTGATTAAATTTGTAACATGAGAAGGTTAATGCAGATGGTTTGCAAATTTTTAAAACATAAGGCAAAATGTGTATGTTTATAAAAAGTGAAAGTGAAATGTCAGTAATACTCAGTGCATTACTACTCATGACTATAATGATATACAACAAATCAAATCTGTACACAGAGAGCAAATACATACAAAGCTAATGCCAAAAGTATATATTATTCATTGGAGTGTCAGAT